AATCTCAGCGAGCCACTGTGAAACTAACTATCTCCTTCGCCCATTCTACTAATGTTTTACGAAGCTTGCTTACCAACTCTCTGCCCCGCCTGTTTCATTTATTTTACCAATCCGTCCCCGCTCTCTAACATATTACTATGTGATTGAAAGCTTGCACTCTCCATGAGCAGCATCGTGTGTGGCTTCGAGCGGCACGGCGTTCACCAGTAACATTGATCTGGAGCTGGATGTGATGACCGAAGAAGCTCGTGCGAAGTGGGCTCGCGATCACCCACCTACTCGCGCTGAAGCGGAAATTGAGTCCGCTTCTCCCCGTGCTGAAGGCTATAACATCAACATCGATGGCAATGAAGGCGCAAGAGTTACGCGCGGTGAACTGGGAGGGGTGGTTAGTGTGAACACCGCGAGCGGTGGTGGAACACACGCGCAAGTCCTTCGGTCAGCCGCTCTAACATTTTTTTTTTTTTTTTTTTTTTTTGAATGCGTATGCACTATAACAGATGCAAATACATTCACAGTCGTAACTGGATTCTGGAGGGAAACGGCATACCCCAGTCGAGACTCAGGGGCCACCCCCCTACCAGTGCCTAAGGTGGCTGTCGGATGGTCTTGGGGTTCTGCCAGATAGACAGAAAATCTACCCTCCATGTGGCTTGTTCTCCTGCCTCGCTTATCCTCGCAATCGCCGCCCTCTTGTCACCTGCCAGACCACCCCACGGGTCCTGCAGCTGCCCTTGGATCTTGCATCCTGCTGCCTTCCTCAGCTTTTCTGCTCTGTACAGTCTTGCATGCCTCATGAAGTCAAAAACAGCCGCCCTAGCGACCTTTTTCCTTTGAAACCTCTCCTTCCGAAACACCGCATCCACCCTAGCCAACCAGATTCTCCGCATCGTCACCGCTGTCAATGTGGCTCCCGGGAAACCGGACTTCGTGGCCCCGTCCTTGAATAGCATGTCGCCTAGCGAACTCGTCCGGTCCGTTGGATCCATAATCTTCAGTGAGCTCAGCAGCGCGCCGATCACCGGCTGGATGACGGGACAAGTTTGCATGCAGTGGTATAGGGTTTCAGGAGCCCCGCAGTGCGGGCAACACCCTCTGGGGCCAAGAAAAACAGCCTCCCCCCCAACTGCAGGTTCTTGCTGTGCATCCGCAGCACCACATCCCGCGCTCTGTAGTGGACCGCCAGAGAATCTCTCCTTTCTCTCACGGCCTTCCAGTCAATCTTCCAGCCCAGCTCTTCCTCCCACTCGTGTCTCCGCCTGGACGCCATGACCGGCCCCGTTAGCATCCTCCTTATCTCCTTAGGCGCTGCTGGCCTCATATGTTCCCCCACCAGCGAGGTCTGACAAAGCTTGACCCGCGGCTCGCCCATCGCTCCGAGCACCGTGCCGCTCCTGGCCACCACCGGCTCCACACTTCTGACTGAGAAATTAACCACAAACGGACTCTGTGGCGTGACCAGGTTAGAGCCGTCCGAGCAGGTGAGGTGGTCTGTCACCACTCTCCCCTCATTGACCCCTTTTACCGTCCAGTACATGTATTTGTGCGTCCGCGTCAGAACCGTTCGTACCACCTTCGCCGCCGCCACGACCGCCTCGGCTGTTTTCGGCGCCGACAGCATCAACCTCCAGCCCGCCGGAGAAGCCTCGTAGGCTTTCTTCGCCCATCTGGCCGACGCCACGCTCCCGAACTCTGCTGTCAGTACCTTGATGTCCTTCAGCTCTCTGCTCCCATACTCCTTGGTGACGAGCAGGCTTCCCAACGTGGTTTTCACTATTTCTGCTGTGCCCTGTTGGTTCCCGAAAGGGCTGCCCCCCCGGAACATGATGCGCCGGTTGAAGCAGAGTAGCTCGCGTTCTACTTCCCAGCTGTTGGTCGGCTCTGGCAGGTCCGCGAATGGGGACTCCCATAACACTTCCACTATCGCCTTCCACCTCTGGCTCCCCTTCTCCCAGTGTTTCCTGGCAGATTTATGGGCGAAGAGCGTTGCAACTCCTTGCGGTAGCACCGCGGCCTTCTCCATCAGCCATCTCTTGGTGGCGTCCTTCTCTGTCAAGAACTTCCCCACTTGTGGTATCGCCATGCTATCCAGCCGGTCCTTCGGGTCGATCAGCCCCAAACCGCCGTCCTTCTTCGGCAACCGCGCCAGCTCCCCCCTCCAGAGCACACATTTTTTTTCCGACGTCACCTCCCCTTTCGAGACGTAGTTGTCGCAGGTTTTCCGAATCTTCGCCCAGAGCTCCTCTGGCGGCGGGTATATTTGCGCCTGGAAAAGTAGTATTGGTATGATGTAGCTATTGATGACCGTTACCCTTGACGCCGTAAGCAGGTGTTGATTCTCCCATTTGATCAACTCCTTCTTCCCTCGCTCCCATGCTTTCTCCCAGGACGGTGTTGCGTCTCCGTCCGGCGTCAGCGAGCTGTCGTCCGCATATCCGACATATGACCCCTCGTCACCCCCGTCCGCCTTGACCCCCAGACCGCGCCTCTTGATCTCCGCGCAAAGCGGCTTCAGGGCGCAGAGAAACAGGTAAGGCGCTAAGGGGCACCCCTGTCTTACCCCCCTTTGCATCTCCACTTTTTCCCCTATCCAGCCGTTTATTACCAACCTCGTTCCTGACCCCTGATGCAGGCCCTCTGCCCATTTGATGAATTGTGCAGGCAAGCCGAGCTTCCCCAACGTTCCGAACAGGAAAGGGCGTGACACTGTGTCGTAGGCCTTTTGGAAGTCGACGAGCAAGAGGTACCAGTCTTCTCCATCGCTGTCAGTCGCCTCTATCGCGTCTGCAACCACCGCCACCGCGTCTGCTAGGCTTCTCCCCGGTATGAACCCGTGTTGCTCCCTTGAGATGACATGATGCAGTTCACGTTTGAGCCTGTTCGTGAGCACCCTTGACAGGACCTTGTACACTGTTGTGAGCAGGGTGATTGGCCTGTAGTTTGTCAGCAGGTCCTTCTCCCCTTTCTTGTGCAGTAAAACCGTTACCGCCATCATCAGTGACTCTGGCAGCGACCCCTTCGCCTCGAAGCTTCTGACAAAATTCATGAACGGCCCTCCCAACAGGTTCGAATGAGTCTTGAAAAGCTCCACCGGGAGACCGTCGTGCCCTGGCGACTTCCCCTTCGGGAGCCCGTCCAGCGCGGCCTTGACCTCCACTTCCGACCACGGGGCTCCGAGTTTATCCGCCGCAGCCTCCGGCATGACCCTGTCCACCGTGAAGTCAGCGATCGCCGACTGGGCCGCTGCCGCCTCAGCCTTGAAGGATTCCGCAAAGTGCGCTGACGCCGCCTTGAGCACCGCGCTCGATCCACGATGACGCACCCCCTGAAAGAGCACCTCCTCAATCAGCGTGCGCTCCTTCCTCATCTTCACCTGCGCCGACAGGTACGGCGACGGAATCTCCCCCTGCATCTCCGCAGTGAGGCCAGCAAAAACCTCCAGCCTCTCCCGCTCATTTTCTCGGTAAGACTCCAGCTGTTCCTCCTTGGTCAGTAGCTGCGCCTTGACCTTGTCGTCCGTCGGCCCTCCCATGACCATGTGCCGTAACCGCTCCACCTCCTCCGTGAGATGCAGCTGCGTTGTCGTCACCCTGTTCCTTTCCTCCTTCTCGTACGTGCGTAGGCCCGCTGTCAGTCTTGGAAGCAAACTTTCCAGAGAACATTTGCCCACCTTAGCAAGCGACTCCGTAATAGACTGAATGATCTTCCTTACCCCCTCCGACCCCTCCGTGTCGCGTGGAACCTCCACAGACCCGGGCCACACGCGTGCTCCGAGGCGAATTTAAGCTTATATTGACAGCAAACCAGTGGTCAGTCAGCTTCTTTGGCACCTCCACATGCCGGGCCCCCACCAAGTTGCCGAGCAGGGATGTGGACACCAAGGCTCTGTCGATGCGCGACTTCGACTGCGTGGCTCTATCCTTGAAAGTGAACTCCTTGTCGGTGGGATGCAGGGCGCGGAAAGCATCACAGAGGTCGTGTGGCTGCCACGCGTCCAATAAACGCTGGTTCTCCCTCCCTGAGCCCACACCGGACTATTTATCCAGATCAGGGTCAGCGACCATATTGAGATCTCCCACCACCACCAGGTGCTGTGACTGCGGCTGCGCCTGGATGAAAGGTAACATATGCTCGTTGTGAAACTTCGCTCTATTGCATGCTTGCGCCGGGAGATATGCAGCAACCAGCCTGAAAGGCACCTCCCCTCCTTCTACTGTGACCCCTAAAAGTCTCCCCGTTGATTCCGGCAGGGCGTCTGAGAAGCGAATGTGCCTACCGAACGATACTACTGCCACCCCTCCCGCCGACTGGCTCGGTCCGACCGCAGCCCAAGCTTTCGGCCTTAAATCTTTCCAGAAGTTGTGATCTTTCTTAATCCTTCTATCTGAGAGGACCATTATGTCCGCTGTTTTTCGTAGCCATCTCCTGTTCTTACTCCGTTTTCCGCTGCTGCCAAGGCCATTCACGTTGACCCCGCAGATGGTAAGGAATGGTGTGTTACCCATGGATCCACTTGACAATGAGCCCCTCGCATCCACGGGCTTTATTAATGACAGTACAACACAAGGAAGTCAGAATCGACGCTACTTCTGATGTCATCACCTCTGCTGTTGACGCCGTTAAAAACACCTCCCTCGTCTGCCTCCCTGAAACCCGCGCAGGAACCCTCCAGCATCTCCGCTCGCTCGGTCGGTCAGTCACGTCCCATACTTCTTCTTGACCTGCGCGAGATTCAGCTTCCCTTTGCTCAAGCGAGTCGCCGCTCCCGCCTTGAGCATCCCGGTACCATGACGAACCGACTGGACATGCTCCACCGCCAACTCGAAGCTGGAACCATGAGCCTTCCCGCAGTCTTCCTGGGAGCACAGCCACTCCTCTCTGACACCACCCGTAGAGGTTAAGGCAATCGCAGGATCCGCCAGCAATATCTTCAACGCCGGTGAGAGCTTCATGGAAGCCGCTGCTCGGGGGAAGGGTCGCACAGAAGTCAGCATGGAGGCTCACAGCTGCAGCCACCTGAAAAACAAGGTAAGAGGAGCAGCTGGAGCAGTTACCATTGATCTCATGAGCACGCAAAAGAGGAAGATTCCAGTTTCCAATATTGTTCTGCCTCTCCTTAATGTAATCGTCATGGAAGCACGACATGTGCATTCCGCTGCAGAAATCGCAGGTCAGTGCAGGGAACGATACCAACAGCTCAACCCCGTGGACTCTGTCGGTGACCTTGTGCCACCACTTATACTTATCCCCCTGATGCCTGAAGACCAAGCCCTTAATCTTGTCAGTATCAGACCCCGACACAGGATCCAGCACCGGTGAAAAGCCAAGCCGTCGCGGAACGCCGTGCGACCGCGCTTCAGCAGCAGCGCCGAAACCAGGTTCTTCTTGATCATCTCTGGTGAGATAACAGCCGGCACTCCCTTGAGCAGCACCTTAATCGCCTCCGGGTGAGCTGCACGCTCCTTCAGGTACTCCTTGTTCTCCGGATGTTGCCAGCCGAGCTTCAGCTTCATATCCTTCACCGTGTAGTGTTCGATCTCTCTGCTCCTCATAAACCCTGCATCCGCCTCCTGCAGGAAGACGACTTCGATGCGTCCGAAATGCTTCTTGGAGAGAAAAGTCGCCGTAAGTTGCTGACACCTCGTGGTCGTTCTCACGTTCTCCGACATGTGCTTTCCCCAAACCGTCAGCAGGTGATTGACATTGTTAATGATGCGCGGAATCTCCTTGCTCCAGGCGAAAGGAACCAGCAGCGTGATGGCAACTCCAGCCTGCTCAGCGATCTCGTCGAGCGTCACCGGATCTTGACATTCGTCGGAATCGTCACTCAGGTAGCCACCATCATCATCCGCGTCCTGCTCCTTGGCCTTACCGTGATCCTGAGCAGCAGGAACAGCAGCACCCGCCTTGGCCTTGTCACTGACGCTTGCATTGTTGCCTGCAGGCAGATCGTTGATGCGCAGTGCCGACGCCTTAGCCGTCAACTCTTTAATCTCCTGCTCTCCTTGGGAGGCCGACGCGCCATTGAACAATGTCTTCGGAGTGATCGGCTCAGGACGAGCATCCGCGGGTTTCCTCCCCTGGAGACCGGCGGCCGGAGCCAGAGCAGCAGAGGTAACTTCCGGCGGAGCCATGGTGTGATGATGAGATGAGATAGCGTATAGATCTGCCAATGCAGGACGTAAGATCGAGCTGAGCACCAAAGGCTCCTGTAATGACTTGTGTCTTCCTCTCCACCAGATTCTGTATATGTAGTAATAAAAAGTCTGTTGAAGCGCGTCGAGGAAGTAGGTAGAACACCTGGGGTTGCCATGCTTCTCGGGAACGTCGCAGACCCTGATAACTCCATTGCCAAAGTGAGCCTCGAGTGTGCCTGACAATAGGGCCGAATGGTCGATGTTCGACTGATGAACATAAAAAGTGTACCAACGGAATCCTACAGTCATAAGGAGTACGAATCTAGGCTCGCTTTTGGCAACTGACAAGAAATTGAGGGACATTGACACGTGTGAAATTCTTGGGAGTAGCCATGGCGGTCTTGTCATTGTCATTTGATGGAGTGTTTGGTGCTGTGAAAGGCTCTCGTGATTAATCAAACCAGACGGTTTGGTGCCGCTCTAACAAGTGCGCGTAGTGACGCGCACGGTCGTCGCAACTCTGCACGACAAATTGGTGGCAGACACTCATGGACGGCAAATGCGTCAACTGTACGTGATGGTGGAATTGCTCCGGAACACGGATACTTCAGGTTCTCACCCGACAAAATCGTCGTGCCAAAATTGTTCGAAGGGCGTCACGACTTGACAACGTGGGTCGAGTCCATTGAGCCATAGTTGGAGATCGCACAGTTGAATAAGTTTGTTGACAGAGCGATGGGGGTGCTGCCTGAGGAGGATGCTGAGCGGCGCACACAATTTAATTCTGCACAACTGATGGTGTTTATGGTTATATGAAGGTGTTGCTCGCCGGTCGTCCAAGTTGCATTGAAGCCTTGCCGTCTTCGGGTGGACTCTGATTTTCAAGCTTGGAAATTCATTATGAAGACCTACAAGGCAACGGATGACCTATACATCAGCCAGCTAGAACAATGGTTGACAGATCTAGAGATGGGGGAGCACGAAAGCGCAACTGCATATTGCAATCGCGCACAACAGATTCTTGCAGACCTGTGTATGGCTGGCGTGGACTACGCAATGTCTTCCTTTGTCACGCATGTCATCAAAGTTCTTCCTGCAAGCTACAATCTCGTGCGACGCATGGTGAAACTCCCGGGTATACGCAAAGAGCTCGACGAGGATACGCTTTCCAGCTGCATCATTGAGGAGGAGTTTACCCTTGAATCTAAGTGGCGCAAGGATTAGCTTCTCGCTCAAGTTAACTATGTCGCGTCGAAGCAGCAGCGGCAGCAACACAAGTGGGGAAAATTGTGCGGAGAAGGCGACAACGACAAACAAGTCGACCGCGCGAAGATGACCAAGAGCGACGAGCGTTTTGGTGGTGGAAAGCGCAACACTCAACGATATTGCTTTGTTTGTGAAGATCCCAAACACATCACGAACCAGTGCTCCGACCGCGTCAACAAGGAGGCTGGCAATGGTCAGGAAGCTCCACGCGGACGATCACAAAACCGTCTACCTCGTCGCGAAACCGCATATCGCAAGGACAAACACCACTCTAATTCCAAGGAGAAGCAGCCGTCGGATGTCGGAAATTCTCGCGGAAAGGGAGCGAAGGATGCCGCAAGTGACGCCGTGCACAACGAAGGGCAACCGCCATGTTCGATGGGCGGCGTGGTGATGGACACATCTGCGGAACCGACCATGATTTGGCTCCGGAAGCTGGCGAAGACTTCCAGGCGGTCGCTGCAGCTGTGCATGCAAATCCGACTGTGGTACTCCTTGACAGTGGCTGTTCGCATCACCTCATGGGGACGCGCGAGGCATTTGGAGACATGAATGTGGGAGGCGACGTTCACTATGTGCGTGGATTCAACAGCGCTATTCAGCCCGCACAGGGGGGCGTTGCTCTTCAAGGGGCAGCGGGCACGAAGGTTCTCATTCCCGATGTGCTGTATGTGCCTGGTGTACAGGCAATCTGCTGTCAGCTGGACAGCTAAAGGACAGTGGTGTGCAGTTTCAGGACACAAGCGACGAGACGCTTCTCATATTTGCTGAGGGAGCTGATCTCGGACGAGCGCGCTATACTGGTCGTATTCTCTGCACTGACCACCGCCCGTGTTCGTCGTAGCCGACGCCGCTGCCGACGGAGACGGTCGCGCTGCGGACGATTGCATCGTCTACGAAGTCGTCGGCGGACATTTGGCATGCAAGACTTGCGCACGCGAGCATTGATACAATTAAATGCATGGCTGCACATGGCGCGGCAGCTGGGTTGGAGATCATGTCTGCCACGAACCTGGTATGCGTTTGTTGCGTCTGCGGGAAAATGGTTTGTCATACCTTCCCCGACAAAGGTTCTGAGCCCGAAAACGCATTGGACGTTGTGCACATCGACGTCTGCAAACCCTTTCGAGTTGCTGCGAAGGATGGGGGCCAACTATCTGCGATTCCAAAATGCTGATCAAATGGAATATGGTAACAAAAACACAATTAATAAACACAACTTAAATACCAAACTACTCATACAAGTTTAATAAAAGATGACAAAGACCCCCTCCAAAGTACCACCAAACCCCCAAGACCACAAAACCATCTACTCGTCCATAACAAACATGTGATGCTTCTCTCTGGGTGCAGGGTTTGGGTGCAACGGTCTCGCACGACCACATGTTCATGCTCGCTTTCTCTATGAATCATTTCCCCACCCTCTAAATTAGAGAACATCTCTACCTATTTTAACCCCCACGGGTATCAAAGTTTAGGCCATGCGGAATGTGTTACTGGAAACAGGAAGCGATTGACTAGGAAAGTGTTTGCCTCCATTGACGAAGGCAAGATGTGTGCCAACGACAGAATGCTGTCCACGTCGATAACGGCAAACGCATCCTCCTCCCCCCCCCCCCCCCCCCCCTCCCCGTGGGAGTCAAACGGACGCATCCGGTGGCAGCGCACGGACCCTCCGCCTCTGTGAAATACTTGATCAATTCAAGACGTGGGTGAGGCATTATCTCCCTCGCAATGTGGAACAATGCCATGCACTTCGCGTACTAGACCACCCAGTCTTGCCCCTGGATCTTGATGTGACAGAAGCCGCCCGCCTTTGGTGATGCGTTCACCATCTGCCCGTTGTCCCCTCGGTCCATCCGATTGTGAAATAGCAGCGCCAGAGCCGTGTGGACCTGTGCACAGTGGGAGAGATTGTCAAATGTTGTATCTGCTACAGTTTGTTTAGGCTTTAGTGGGGTAGTTACTGTGGGGTACAGTAAGTTTAGGGTTTCCTACTTGTACCCAACTCTTTCCTAGTGCGACCACTCTTGTTCATTCTGACATGGTATCACGAGCCTAGGCTGCCACCTAGGACCGCTTACTACTACGGGCCCACTATTCCGCTAGCAGCGCCCTCGTGCGCCCTACCTTACGTGCGCCCTCGTGCGCCTTTTTCTGCTTGTGCGCCCTCGTGCGCCCCGCCCTTCGTTCTGCCCGCGCGCCGTCCTGCAGCCCTCGCGCTGCCTCCTGCTGCCCTAGGCCAGTGCGCCGCCCCTGCAAGCTAGTAAGGCCCTCGAGCCGCCCCTGCAGGTCCGTCAGGCCCCCGAGCCGCCCCTGCAGACCCGTCAGGCCCCCGAGCCGCCTCTGCAGGCCCGTCAGGCCCGAGAGTCGCCCCTGCAGGCCCGTCAGGTCGGCGCGCTGCCCCTGGAGGACCACGTCGCCCGCGCGCAGACTCTGCCCGACCGCGCGCCGCCCCTGCAGGCCCTCGCCGCCCGCACGCAGCCTCTGCAGGCCCGTCAGGCCAGCGCGCGACCCCGTCAGGTCGCTGTCGCGGCCCCGTCAGGCCGCAGTCGCGGACTCGCCTTGTCGCTGACGCGGCCCCACCCTGCCGCGGTCGCGGCCCCGCCCTGCCGCCGACGCGGACGCGGCCCCGCCCTGCAGTGACGCGGCCCCGCCCTGCAGTGACGCGGCCCCGCATTGCAGTGACGCGGCCGCGCCCTACTGCTGACGCGGCCGCGCCTTTCTACTGACGCGGCCGCGCCCAGCTTCCCGCCGCGTTGCCCTGCCCGCGGCGTCGCCCTACCCGCCGCGTCGCCCTGCCCACGGCGTCGCCTTGCCCGCCGCGTCGCCCTGCCCGCCGCGTCGCCCCTGCCCGCGGCGTCGCCCCTGCCCGCCGCGTCGCCCTGCCCTACCCCGCGCCTGGCCCCTGGAGCAGCCGCCCCTGGAGCAGCCGTCCCTGGCCCCTGGAGCAGCAGCCACTGCAGCAGCCGCCCCTGGCCCCTGGAGCAGCCGCCCCTGCAGCAGCCGCCCCTGGCCCCTGGAGCAGCCGCACCTGCAGCCGCCCCTGGCCCCTGGAGCGGCCGCCCCTGCAGCAGCCGCCCCTGGCCATTGGAGCAGCCGCCACTGCAGGAGCCGCCCCTGGCCCCTGGAGCAGCCGCCTCTGGAGCAGCCGCCACTGCAGCAGCCGCCCCTGGCCCCTGAGCAGCCGCCCCTGCAGCAGCGAACGTCGCGGCCCTGTCCCTGCCCTGCACCAACTGCCGTCGCGGCCCGGTCTCGCCCTGCAGCAACTGCCGCGGAGCTCCCTGCCGCGGTCGCGGCCCCGCTCTGCCGCTGTCGCGGCCCCGCAGTCGCCTCCGTCATGCGCCTGCCCTTCCCACCACTGGTGAGCACTGCCCTGCCCGTGTTGCTACTGCTGTTACTGCTACTGCTTCTGCTTCTACTGCTGCTCCTGGCGTGGCCAGATGCAGCTCCAGGGCCGTCCGCGTGTGTCCCTCACGCCCCAGCAGCTTCGTCCGTGGTACGCCAGTTGGGGTTGTCGGGGTGGCAGTAGTGGGAGTCGTCCTGGAGTGGGTAGTTTGGGAGTCTCTTGTAGTGGCCCGGTGCAGCAGCAGCGTCGTCTGGCGAGACTCGTTCGCCCCAGCAGCTTCGTGAGTGGTACGCTCAGAGTAGAGGGTCGCTGGGTACTGCTCGCTGCCCGTACGTTATTAGCACGGGTGTCCGGACTGGTCAGCCTTGCGGGACGCCTGGTC